GGAATAAAAAATAGAGAGGCTGTTGTGCTGTTGAGCACAGCCTGTGGGTTCTGCTCCTCTTACGACCTCGAACAAGCCCCTGCAGCCACCGAGGTTTGTTTTACCTTCTGCCAGCAGACAGAGAGGGTCGGGGAGAGCCTCTCGGAGATTAAATTGTGTTCTTGAAGTGCTTTAAAAAAAAAAAAAATCAAAGTGAGGTGGTGAACGACTCTGCTCTGCCTTTTGCAGGCCCCGCTCTTGGAACTGGATCCACATGGGCAAGTCTTTGTCTCCGTGCAAGGCGCCGTTGAGGTAAGGAGGATTCTGGAGGAGCTCTGGTGGGGCCTAGAGTGAGGGGAGACCCCCGGTGAGGAGAGGGGTTTGAGGGGAGACCCCTGTGAGGGGAGAGGTTTGAGGGACACCCCCCAAGTGAGGGCATTGGGGGGACAAGAGGGGGTCTCCCGTGAGGGAAGGGGTCGGGAGGAGTGAGGGGAGACCCCTGTGAGGGGAGAGGGTTGAGGGAGACCCCCCCCCAAGTGAGGGCACTGGGGGGACAAGGGGGGTCCCCCGTGAGGGAAGGGGTCGGGCAGAGTGAGGGGAGACCCCCGGTGAGGAGAGGGGTTTGAGGGGAGACCCCTGTGAGGGGAGAGGTTTGAGGGTGACCATTCAGCCTGTGGTTAGGAAATCATGGCCGCAATTTAGCTAAAACATTTTGGAACTACCATTGTTGCAAGGACACACCCCCAAAGGCATGTGATATTTTACCCCTTGGGGGTCTCAAATGGGTCAGGAATGGGAGGGCACAGGTACCACAGATGTGTGGGCTGGTGTTTCATGCTGGAAGCCTTCCCCATCTTTAGTTACTTGCTCTGCTCCCTTTCTGGTGGCTTAGGAATTGCTTTACAATTGTTGAGGGACAACTGAATCAGACCAGCTGCTGCCCACTGAAAACTGGGCTGTGTTTTCTGCTTATAGAGCAGTGAGTCTGGTAAGCACATATTTCCAGTGCTCCTGCAACGAATGGGTGTCAAACAGTGGGTCTGTTGACAGTCCCACTGTCTTTGTTTGTCCCACTGTAGTTGCTTGCTTGAGGAAGCCCGTGGCTCAGGGCTGGCATGGCTGATGCTCTGAATGCAAAGAAAGATCCAACAAGGAGCAGCTGAAAAAAAAAGAAAGAAAAAAAAAAAAAAGGGCTCTGGGATCCCAAACCAGCAAAATACTTAACGCCTGTGCTAACGTTTTGCTGGTCCAAGGATGAGTGCCCATATATCCTGCAGCAGTTGAAGACCAGATTTGAAAATGAGGCCCTGTTTGTCCCTCTTTAATTTCTGGGGGAAAAAAAAAAAAACAAAAACAACCCCAAACTGGAAAGTCTTAAAGGGCAGGTGGTTGTGGCAGTGAAAAACGTGCAGTGTAAACTTATCAAAAGTCCTGATTGCAGGGTAAATCTGAGTAACTGCTCCGGGCTCTTGAGTTCTGAGCTTCAGGTGTTGCTCAGAAAAAAAAGTGATTAAGTACAAATTATGAAGTGAAACGTGTTTGTGTGGGCGGGTGGGCTCTTGGGCTTTGCTTTGAAGGGCTTGTGCTACTGATGGCTGGGTCTGGTGGTGGCTGAGGACAGGGTTGTGTGTTTTTTTTTTTATTTTCTCCCGAAAGGACCAGAAATAAGGATGAAAAGGAGCTTCCTGGCTGTTCCGTGGAACCGCAGATGAAGGGAATGGAAGGAAAATTGAGTGGAGGGCCTGGGTGCTGGGGGAGTCACTGGGTGGTGGGGTGATGTTCCTCTGGATGTTGTACCCCAATTAATGGGAAGAGTTTAAAGTTGGTCTTCGACAGGCTTGGTGTAGCAGCGTAACCCCATCGTGAGGAAAATGCTGTAGTTCACTGTTGCCATAATTCCTCTGTGCTTTATGTAGCTCGGGATAAATAGAGAGGCTGTTGTGCTGTTTGAGCACAGCCTGTGGGTTCTGCTCCTCTTATGACCTCAAACAAGCCCCTGCAGCCACCGAGGTTTGTTTTACCTTCTGCCAGCAGACAGAGAGGGTCGGGGAGAGCCTCTCGGAGATTAAATTGTGTTCTTGAAGTGCTTTAAAAAAAAAAAAAATCAAAGTGAGGTGGTGAACGACTCTGCTCTGCCTTTTGCAGGCCCCGCTCTTGGAACTGGATCCACATGGGCAAGTCTTTGTCTCCGTGCAAGGCGCCGTTGAGGTAAGGAGGATTCTGGAGGAGCTCTGGTGGGGCCTGACCCCGTGAGCTGCCTTCTGGTGCTGCTTTGGGGCAGGGAACTGAAAAACACAACACATTTATGCCTTTTTATTGCCTGTGTTGGGCCTACTTCTGTGTGGGACGCTGGGGGGGTCCAGATGTCGTTGTACAGCCCTTTTTAAAAGTCTCACTGCTTTTTCTTTGTTTTCCATCCCTTGCTCCCTGTCCTTTGAAGCAGGTTTGGGCAAAGGCTGGGTCCCATGAGTGAAGATGTCCCTGGTGGACCTGGGGAAGAGGCTGCTGGAGGCCGCCCGCAAAGGCGAAGATGACGAAGTGAGGAAGCTGATGGCCAGTGGGGCTCCCTTCACCACTGACTGGGTGCGTCGTGGGGGGGGACAGACCCTGTTTTTCTGCCTGAAACGGGCTGTTTGTGCACGTTTTGGGGCTGAACCTAAAGGAGACAAACGGAGGAGTGAACCCGGGGTGTGGGTGGGCAGATAACACCTCTCTGGATTTCTGTGATGGAGCAGGTTCCAGATGAACCTCACCTTGGTTCATCTGAACCACAGGCCTCACCTTGAGTACTGTGTCCAGTTTTGGGCCCCCTACCATAAAAAAGACATTGAGGTGCTGGAGCGGGTCCAGAGAAGGGTGACAAAGCTGGTGAGGGGTCTGGAGAATAAGTCTGATGAGGAGAGGCTGAGGGAGCTGGGGGTGTTCAGCCTGGAGAAGAGGAGGCTGAGGGGAGACCTTCTTGCTCTCTCCAACTCCCTGAAAGGAGGGTGTAGAGAGGGGGGGGGCGGTCTCTTTTCTCAAGTCCCAGGCGACAGGACAAGAGGAAATGGCCTCAAGTTGCCCCAGGGGAGGTTCAGGCTGGATATTAGGAACAATTTTTTCCCTGAAAGGGTTCTCAGCCCTTGGAATGGGCTGCCCAGGGAGGGGGTTGAGGCCCCATCCCTGGAGGTGTTCAAAAGCCGGGTTGATGTGGTGCTGGGAGGGATGGGTTAGTGATGATGCTCCTTGTTTGTTGAGTGGGTGTCTATTTTTGTCAGTTGGGTTGATGGTTGGACAAGATGATCTTGAAGGTCCCTTCTAACCTAGAAGATTCTGGGATTCTGTGAAGCGTGTTAAAAACCACGGCCTTCCCCAGGCCTTGGGTTGATGTTTGTGTAAAGATGGGTCTGTGTCTCCTGCACGAGGGCACGAGCACAAGTATGGTGCTGCCCCAGCCGGCAGCGTGGCCGGGGCTCAGCCCTTTGGGAAGTGCAGTTCCCCGCAGCCGAGACAAACGATGAGTCAAGAGAAATTAGGAGAACGGTTAAACCTCCCAGTAATAGGAAGTTCTTTCAAGAATGCTTTATTTAATTGGTTGAACTCTGTCAATCAAGAAACTCCTCCTTGATTGGTTTCTTGTTTTTTTTTGTTTCCTCAAAAAAGCCAAAGCCCTGAAAAACAAACCGGGCCGTCCTGGGTTGGAAATAAATAAAAGCTTTAACGAAACTGAAGAATAATAGCTGGATAAACAGAGACCCAGATCATAATGCATGAGCCATTTTCCATCACCAGTTGTATTAATTTCCTAATTGATCAGTCCTTTCATTTGTAGCTTTGTGAGGTGAAGGAATTAACTATCGAGAGGTCACAGAGCAGAATGATGGTGTAACTCTGCCCTTTTCTGGACAGCAGTGAAATCACCTGTTGTGATAAAGACATGGCAGAGCTCTTCTGCTGTGGTTTGGAGAAGCAGCATTTTTGATTTTCAGGATGAGATAACGTAAAGACCCTTAAAAATTTTAAATTACTGGGTGTGCAGCCTGTTATTTCCGAGTGGAAAAAAAAAAAAAAAGTTGGATTAATTCCTTCTGGAAGCTTTGTCATTTTAATTACTGCTGGACGTACAGGTGGTGCTCCCTGTGCTGTGAACTCGTGGTAACTCTCCTAAATCACCCCGCAGCTGGGGACGTCGCCGCTTCACCTGGCTGCCCAGCACGGCCACTACTCCACAGCAGAGGTGCTGCTCCGGGCTGGTGTCAGCAGAGACGCCCGCACCAAAGTGGACAGGACACCACTACACATGGCTGCAGCTGATGGACACACTCACATCGTGGAACTGCTCATTAGGGTAAGTATAATAAGTTAGGTCTGATTTCAAGGTGGGTCTCGATCACCCTGGGAGTAAAGTGTTGATATCCCTGGGTTTTTTTGTTTCCTGCTGGCGCAGGCACCACCTTTCATAGAATCATAGAATTGTTCAGGTTGGAAGAGACCCTTGGGATCATCGAGTCCAACCATCTCCCCTACTCTCCAAAGTCCTCCCCTACACCATGTCCCTCAGCACTGCATCTAAACGGCCCTTAAACACAGCCAGGGATGGGGACTCCACCCCCTCCCTGGGCAGCCTGTTCCAACGCCCGACCACTCTTTGGGTGAAAAATTCCTTCCTAATGTTCAATCTAAACCTCCCCTGGTGGAGCTTGAAGCCGTTCCCTCTCGTTCTGTCACTAATTACCTGTGAGAAGAGACCAGCCCCAACCTCTCTACAGTGTCCTTTCACGAAGTTGTAGAGAGTGATGAGGTCTTCCCTCAGCCTCCTCTTCCTCACACTAAACAGTCCCAACTCCCTCAGGATTTGTTTTCCAGCCCCCTCACCAGCTTCGTTGCCCTCCTCTGCACTTGCTCCAGCACCTCCAGATCTCTCTTGGATTGAGGTGCCCAAAACTGGACACAACACTCGAGGTGTGGCCTCCCCAGTGCTGAGTCCAGGGGCACAATCACCTCCCTCCTTCTGCTGGTCACACTATTTTTGATACAAGCCAGGATGCCGTTGGCTTTCTTGCCCCCCTGGGCACACTGTGGCTCATATTCAGCCCTTTGGCAACTAGAACCCCCAGGGCTCTTTCTTCCATCTTTAAGACGTTGGGAGGTGACAGCGCAGAGACAAATAACACTGTTGTTTTTTTTCAGAACGGGGCTGATGTCAACGCCAAGGACATGCTGAAAATGACAGCTCTGCACTGGGCCACGGAGCACAACCACCGGGACGTGGTCGAGCTGCTCATCAAGTACGGAGCCGACGTCCACGCTTTCAGCAAGTTTGATAAATCAGCTTTCGATATCGCTCTGGACAAGAACAACCCGGAGACGTTGGTAATGCTGCAGGTAGGCTGAGGAGGGGGGAAGCTTGTCAGTAATTCTGACCCACCGCTGTGTCTGTGCGAGAGGGATCCTCCTGTGTGTGATGGGAGCGTTTTCTGTTGGCAGAGAGAACTAGAAATATGGAGGTGGGTGAGGTTTGTTGTGTTTCTAGATCAACCAGTGCCCTCTAGGCTGGTGATGGGGCTTTATTGCCCTGTGTCTTGCGTGGTTGGAGTGTGATGTTGGTAAGTTTAGGCAGCTTTGCCACAGAGAGAAATAATCTGTCTGTAAAATGTGTGGAGGATGCTGCATGTCGTTGCTTGCTATGGGAAGAGTGCTGGATGTGTGCCTGACCCCGGTCTCTGTCCCAGGAAGCGATGCAGAGCCAGGTGAGCGCTCACCCGGAGAGAACAGACCCCATCACCGGCGCTGTGACTCTCACCTCACCCTTCATCCTCACACCGGGGGAGGTTCTCAACCTCACGAGTCTGGTCTCTTCAGGGAACCCCAAAACAACCTCAGGTAAGGGTTTTTGTGACCTCGGGTGGGGAAAGTCTTGAGGAACGTTCCTGAGGGTGCTTACCAGTAGAGGGCAGATGGTCATTTGGTAGAGAAGTGGTGAAATTCAGCCAAACACGCCCAGCTTCTGCTTCCTGCCCTTGAGTATTTCTGCTGTGGGAGGTAACAAAGGCGATTTCCCCCTGATGTAAATAAAGGTGGTTCCTCTGGAAGCGGCGCAGCTCTGCTGAGCTCAGCTGTGGGGCTGCTACAGGGGCTGTGACAAAGCACCAGGGCTTGGGAAAGTGATTTGGGCTGATTGCAACAGAGGAATAATGAGAATTATTGCCTGTGCCAAATCCTGAGCGCAGCAGAGCGGTCGGGGAACCGTTTGCTTTGTTCTTTACTGACTACAGGAGTTGAATGAGTGTTCTGCTGTGTATAAACGTTGAGTAAGGAAATTGCAGAATAAGGTCAGTTGGGTACATAGCTTACTCCTTATTTCTTCTCTCCCACATATTAGATGGAAATAATTAGGTTCCTCATTGTTCTGTCAGCTTTATTTTGGTTGGGAAAACACTTTTAAGGCCGAGTGCAGATTCTTTTTGTGTAACTCCAACTTTCATAATAACTATTGAAGTGAGTATTTCTGTATTTGGGGAAATCCAAAACCATTGTGTCCTTTCAGTCTGAAGGAGGCTACTAAATACAAGTTTTGTGGAGCTCTTTGGCCTCATCCCGCAAACACTTCTGCGTGCGAGTAATTCTTTGGTTAGTGAGACCGTTCACACGCAGGAATGTTCACTTATTTGCTGGAAATTGGGTTTAAAATCCCAAATAGTGAAATTCTGCAGTCCCACCCTGCAATTTCAGCCTCTGCCTGGCCACAGTGACTTCTGTGAGGTCCCAGACTTGCTCTCAAAGCTTTTGGGGCCGCTCGTGGCTCTGAGGCACCGACAAACCCTCATGTAGAAGGGGGAAAATGACCCAGAATTGTTGCCCTTCCGCCTGTGAGGAAGACACAGTGTGAGTGTGCACATCGTCTTCAGTCCGGGATATTCCCCAAACTCTGAGGGGCATAAAACTTGGGATTTTTGTAGCCCGGGGGATGCTCTGGCCACGCTCAGTGTCACTGTCTCTGCAGAGGGATCTGGCTGTGCCTGGAAGCTGGGTGGGAGTCCCCGAGGCCAAGCCCTGGAACTGCTCATTTCCAGTTTAAACACATTCACAGCCTGTTCAGACCTTTTCCTGGTGCGATCAGCCCTTTAGTTGAAATCATTAATCTTTTTTTTTCCATGCCTTTGATGTGAAAATGGGTCCTGTCCCCCTCTCTGGGGTTGTTTTGCCCCGAGTCCCTTCAGTCCATCCATCCCTGCTTGGGGACAAGCTCTTGGCCTTGTAAATCCCCATCTCTTCCCACACCTCTCCTCGTATGTCCTGCAACGTAATCGCCTTTTTCGGTGCCGGTGGCTTATTGTCCACGTGTGACTGGACTGAAATACCCTGGGTTTTTCCCCCCGTGGTGCTTGAAACCAGCCGGTGTCTGCTGCCCTGGGCCAAGTCAGGAGGATTTTGTCTCATTTCCCACCAGAGGGCATCAGCGACTTGTGCCTTCATTATCAAAAATTCCTTCTTTTTTAACACTCGGAGCTAATAGTTTTTCTTACCTCTCCTAAATTCCCTGTGTCTTCTGTTACTGAAAAAGTTTTAAAATGGGACTAAGTGTCTTTAGCTGGGCTGGAGGAATCTGTTCACAAACTGCTGCAAGGCCTGTGGTACTGCCTCGTGCTGAGCCCTTTTGAAAGAGTCATTCTTTGAAAATAAGTCCCTCAATAACCTTTGTAAAATCAGGAGTGGGTGAGAGAGAGGAAAAACACGTGGCAAGGGTTAAGGCAGGGGAACTTTCGCTGAACTTCCCTTTGTGTGCTCATAATCTGGTTATCTGTGCTGGCAGCAGAGGTACAGGATCTCTCTTTTTTTTAATTTTTTTTTTTAAAGAGGAATTGTGGGTTAAATGCACTGAGTTTGCGCCCGTTTAGTTAATTTCCTGTCCCATTCTTATTAAGTCTGCCTTTGAATAGGAACTACTATGGTCAATTGGAGGAAGAAACATTGTTTTTTGGAGCTGAGAAAGCTTGTTTATCTCACTCCAATCAATGCCCCGCTGCAGCAGCCGTGGTCTTTCCCTCGCTCACCCTGCGAGGGCAGGAAGAAGGGATCCGTGTGCCTGGTACCTTGAAATCCTGTGATACACGGAGCCAATTTCTGTGTTTGGGCAAAAGGCTCCGTGTTTCTGAAATGTTTGGTGTAGGAAATAGCGCTGGAGACTCCACTTGGAGCCTTTCCCAACCCAGGGAGACCTTGGGTGCTCTTGTTTTCTCACAATGGCCAATGAGTTTAGTATGTTCGTTAGGTTTTGCTACTACAATAGATGATGAGGGGACCAAAACATTTCCCTGATGGGGAAAGGCTGAGGGACTTGGGGCTTTGGAGTCTGGAGAAGAGAAGGCTGAGGGGGGATCTGATCAACACCTCCAAATCCTTCCAGGGTGGGGGTCAGGAGGATGGGGCCAGGCTTTTTCCAGTGGTGCCCAGGGACAGGACAAGAGGGAACGGGCACAAACTTGAATATAAGAAGTTCCACCTAAACATGAGGAGGAACTTGTTGGCTTTGAGGGTGGCAGAGCCCTGGCAGAGGCTGCCCAGAGAGGTGGTGGGGTCTCCTTCTCTGGAGACATTCAAACCCACCTGGATTTGATCCTGTGGGACCTGCTCTGGGTGACCCTGCTCTGGCCAGGGGTTGGAGATGATCTCCAGAGGTCCCTTCCCACCCTGTGTCATTCTGTGACTCTGGAGCAGATCCCTTCACATCAGCTGTTCTTGTTGTAGTTGTTGAAATAACTTCATTGTTACTAACCAGCATCTCTGACCCTGACATCACAGTCCGTAGCTCGTGACGTGCTTTAACAGTTATATAAAAAAGAAAAAAACCCAACCAATCCTTCAGGACACGGGTTTACTTTAATATATAAACGTAGATAAATATTTGTTTAAGAAGGAAATTGTCTGAGATGTTTTCTGTCCCCAGTTTGCTGGAAAATCTTGGTAGTCAACCGACGCTTGGAGTCTCCTGAGGCCCTGGTAACTTCTTCTTGCGGAAAAGTTTGGGTGGTTTTTGTGTCTGACGGGGGTGTTTTTGTGATCTTTTATGGTATGTTTGTAGGAGACGTAACATTCGACCTTTAATTAACTTCAGACTTAGAAATCTGATAAAGCTCAAGTTTACATAATCCTTTCACCTTGGAATTCATTTATTTTCCCCAAAGCCCGGGCGTTTTTTTCCGTAGAATCCAGACAGAAGCCATTTGATTTCTTGAAGCTGCTGGTTCCTTGACCCGTGGAGCTGGAGCCTTTTCCTGCGGCGCGTGGAGCGGGTCAGGTCCCCTCTGTTTCCTGCGCCGGGAGCAGGAAGCAGCCCAGGCTCTGCCATCCTGATGGCTTTGGGCGAGACCTTAAATCACACAAAAAGTGTCCCGGGGAGTTGAAGGGGCCGTGGTCACCCGCCCAAACCAAACAGCCTCCTCGGGGCGGCTTTGGCCGGGCTCGGGAGGCACAAAGAGGTTTGGCTTCGTTAGGGCTTCGTTAGGGTCACGGAAGGAAGCTTCACAGAGCCAGGTCTGCTCCACAGCTGCCTCCAACTCCAGGCTTTTTAACTTAATGAGCGTGCTTGTGCGTTAGTACTTACTAATTTCCACAAAACCCGCTGGTTTTACTCTAGAACTATTGTTTTGCTTCGGCGTAGTGGATTTTATTTCCTTTCCCCCGCTGGGACTGACTGTATTTCCAGATTGTTTTCCACGAGCAGGCATCCCAGGAGTCTCAAGCTGCGTGCTGGAGCTCTTTCACTAGACTCCAGATTGTATTCAAGGAAGAGAGGAGGAAACGCTGACTTACTTTTTTTTTTTTTTTTTTTGGCCTTTGCTTGCTTTTTCAAGGTAAGACGGAGGAAGCAGCGGAAGCGAATTCCATGGATTGTGCCATCCAGGGAGCGGTCGGCGGCGGCGGGCAGCACGTCATCGCCATCGTGACCGACGGGGTGCCCCTGAGCACCCTGCAAGCAGCTGGTCCCACCACCAGCCTCAGCCAGCCCTTCATCCTCACCGTGCAGGATGGGCAGCAAGGTGAGGAGGGGCTCAGCTCTGAAGGCAGTGCTTGAGGATTTGCTTCAAACCCACAAAAATCGGCCTGAGCCCCCCCAGGTCGGGTGGGATCTGGCTCGTGGAGGTGAGAGATCCCCCTGCCTTCTGGGCTCCAGGAGGGGTTAAAACATCTGGGTGACTTACCTCAGCGGTGAAGCTTGCCAGGGACTTGTTTGTAGCCTAATTCACGCTGCTAGGCTGGAATATTTGGGTCTTAAAATCCAAACACCTTGGGTAGAAGGCGGGGGGAGGAGAAATGCCCAGGTGGCCCTTGTCCCCGTGGGATCCAGGCAAAGACAATCCCTGCAGCTTGTGCCAAATCTCCTGACCTGGGGGTAAATTGCTCACCTGATGGAACTGAAACCTGTTACCTTTAGCAATCACTCCATCGTTCTTACAAAACTTAACGTTAGGCCATTAATATCAGCTTAAATACACCTTTTCCTCCCACAACTCCAGTTACATTGCCCAGGGCGATGAAATCTAACAGTTTTACAAGGCAAATGTGACTGGTGTTCAGTAAAGCGGGGCAGAGCTGCTCGTACAGTGAATTTCTGTTTCCTCAAGGGATGTAATTCCTCAGCCTTGTCTGCTGCCCATGGTTCTTCCAGCGTGTCCCAGGGATGCTCCATTATTTGGATTAACGTTGGGGCAGAACAAGAGGATTAGGGAGGCAGAGCAGCTCTCCTGTAACGTGCCCGAAGTGCTGCGATGTGGGGTGGGTCCCATCACTTCTGTCTGTTCACAGACTTTAACAAGTGAGAAGCAATTTTCTTAAAGCTGTTAATTATTCGGAATTATTCGCCAAATTACTACAGGTAATTCCTGGTTGTAACCCATTCTGAGCCTGAGGAGGACAAAGGGAGAACTGTTTGGGTAGCACTCCCTCACGTGGGGAAAGTCACTTACTCGGCGGGAGGGATTCGTGCCGCTGGCGGCCCGGAGCGAACCCCATGTTTGCAGATTTGAAATGTGCTTGTTCTCCGGAGCCTTTGCAGCTCTTGCGTGCGCTTAAAGCTGATCCCGAGCTAAGCCACCGGGGCTGCGTGCTGGGAATTTTCCAGAAGAGCTTTCTATTCCCCTTGCTTAGCCCCTCTGGGCTATTAATTGCCTTCCGGCCCTTCTCCTCCTCGGCGGGAGGGATTCGTGCCGCTGGCGGCCCGGAGCGAACCCCATGTTTGCAGATTTGAAATGTGCTTGTTCCCCGGAGCCTTTGCAGCTCTTGCGTGCGCTTAAAGCTGATCCCGAGCTAAGCCACCGGGACTGCGTGCTGGGAATTTTCCAGAAGAGCTTTCTATTCCCCTTGCTTAGCCCCTCTGGGCTATTAATTGCCTTCCTGAGGCATCAGAACGATAGCTTTCACCTCACCTCTTTTCTAAAATGTGAATCTTTGATTTTGGGTTTTTGTGGTGAAATACTGGAGCCTTTCAGAGGCCTGAGTACTGAAAACTGGAAACTCAGTCCCGAGTTTCTCTCCTCTCTGGGAAGACCTGGGCATGGCCAATCCAGAATCACAGAATCTTCTAGGTTGGAAGGGACCTTCAAGATCATCTTGTCCAACTGTCAACCGAACTGACAAAAATAGACACCCCCACAACAAACAAGCAGCATCACCATCACTAAACCATACCTCCCAGCACTACATCAACCCCTCTTTTGAACACCTCCAGGGATGGGGCCTCAACC